CCCTATCTAAGAATTTGCCTTTATCTTGGTGTTTATAGGAGAGAAACTGGTACAATTTCATGAAGCTTCACTACTAAGAAAGGTGTGATTTCAACAAATAAACTATAATCATCTGTTCCCTCTCCCTCCTTTTCCTCTCCACTTACAAAATTTCTCCTCAGAAAGAAAAGCATTTCCTGGAAATTGTCACACTTCTCTTCAAACCTACCTTAAGAGCATCTTTCATCTGCTGGTTCCTCAGGCTGAAAATGAAGGGGCTCATCAGAGGAGTTACCAATGTGTTGATTAGGGCCACTGCTTTGTTGTAGGAAACATGTTGAATCGAAGGCCGCACATAGAGGAAGATGCAGCTACCATAGCCCAAAATGACAAGGGTGAAGTGAGAGGAGCATGTAGAGAATGCCTTGTTCCGTGATGAAGTAGAGGGCAACCTAAGTATGGTGTTAATGATGTATAGGTAGGATATTGCTGTCATGATCAGCGAGCCAAAGAGGATGATGAAAGAGGTCATAAAAGATACCAGCTCCACAGTCTGTGTTTCTGCACAGGACAACTTGATCAAGAGCATACAATCACAGAAGAAGTGGTCTATACGATTGGCATTGCAGAAGGGCAGCCTGATAAGTAGGACAGTGGGGACAATGGTGAACAGGAAGCCCGCACACCATGACCCCAAGAGGAGCTGAAGGCAAAGGCGACTGTTCATGAGCATGGGGTACTGAAGAGGGTAGCATATGGCTGCGTAACGGTCATAGGACATGACAGCTAGAAGGGCAAACTCGATGCTGCCCAAGAGGTAGTAGAAGTAGCTCTGGGTCATGCAAGCTTGGTAGGAGATGGCTTTGCTGCTCATCAACAAGCTTCCTACTGCTTTGGGTATGATGGCTGTAGTGATGAAGATCTCCAAAGAGGAGAGGTTACAGAGGAAAAAGTACATGGGTCTGTGGAGGTCTCGGTCTGAAAAGATGAGAACAATGATCAGCAGGTTTCCAACTAAGATGGCCATGTAGGAAGCCAGGAAAGTGATTGCTATCAGGTA